TATATATATATATATATATATATATATATATATATAGATATATATATATATAGATATAATTTTTTTATCTTGTATATGTATAAAATAACTTCTCTTTCATATCTTCAAATTGAATGTTCAAAGAATTTTAAAATGTGTAATAAATGCCGAAGAAATGTACGATGCATGATGAAAAATAAAACGAACAAAGATGTCACAATGACAACATGAAATTGACCATATACGGTGCTGAAAATCATCGTGCACCGTTTTCCACCCACGTGCGAACGGCTGCCGTCATAGGTGACGATCAGAAAACCGTGCTAACACGTCGAAAGAACGGAAATTATTTGTTGGCTAACATATACACATTAAGTGTAGGTAGATCCATTCATGAATTACACCATACGCCTACATGACAGTTTAATGCATTGGTATTAATAGAGAATGAAGATTTTTTTTGTTCTACAGATTCCTTAATGTTTGTTTAATAAGAAAATATTATCTATGATAAATATGACATGAGAAGACAATAAGATTTCAAAGATATTTTTAAAAAATCTAATTTTTGATATTTTTGTTAATTAGATTAATATTATTTTTTAAAGCATTTTAAATATATTATCAAATAAAATAAAATAAATTGATTTTATGAATTTTAATTTTACGAATCTGTACTAAAGTTTCCATCAGCTTTCATTATGAAGGAACGAATTTGTTCGAGAAGTCGTTCATAGGATTCGCGGTTGAGCAGAAGGCATTATTTTTCATTGGGAGTCCAAATTGCAGAGACAAAAAGTATGCGTTCAATCCATTGACAAGATAGTTAAACATGTTTTATACACGGTAGAACTCTTAACTTCTGGTTAAATGGTAGCATAAATGCCGGTGGTATGTAACAGGTGAGAAGGGTTCCAAAGAGGCTGGTTTCCGACGTTGCCTCTCATAAAAATAAAGAACTCGAATTCCAAAGCAGTGGTTGTCAAGTGCCTCCCCGCGCGCGCCACACAATTCTTCGTATACCTAACCTTATGGACAAGTAAATGCTACCCAAATTACGCACACACAACACATGTATAAATATTGCCATTATATAATTAAAAAAGAATTACTTTTGTTTCTACAATTTGATGTTGACCTAGAAAATCTCAATTCCTGAAATTCTTTTTTGTATCTTTGATTCTCCGACTGATCAAAACTTCCCACATACAAGAATTGAATTTCATTTTCATAATCTTTCGTTTTCTATTTACTATTAATCAAAATACAAAAAATTCTAAATAATTGAATTTTTTTGCATTTTAAAAAAATAAAATATTTTCTTTGTAGCGCATTTTTTGAAATTATAATTTATTTAAAATAAAAGATATTATGTTTTTTACTTTTTTCTTTTAATTCAATATTTTTTACATAAAATTATCGTAAAAGAATTTGAAAATTAAATGAAAATGATACAAATTTTATAAAAAATATTTTAAAATAAAATAACAATAATATAATAAAATAACATTAAAAAAAAGTTATGTATATTTTTTAAGCTTTCGTTTTATTATTCATTTACTATATAAACTAGCATAGCATATATAATTCAATATTTTTAATATATAATAGTTTTGAATTTGTATTACTATTACAAGATAGGGGTTGAAATTCTTTATACGGACAAACTATGGTATTCTATTACGCATAATAAACAGGAACGACAAGATAAGGTTCTAGTTGATTGAATACATTTGACAAGTGTCCTTATGTGCTGATCATCCTTTTCGTTGATCGTCGATTAATCACGTGAACTTTTATTCTTCACACATCATGTTTCATCTCGATACAAGATATATAACTAACTTTACTTTCCTGCTCGGCATGTATAACGATTGCTTAGTAAAACGAGCAACGAATATTTAGCCGTATATGTGTCATACGCTATTTTAATCTACTTCCCATAACCAGTATTTATCCAAATATTAACACTTAATTTTTGCATTTATATTATTTTCATATCATTTTATATTTATTAATTAAATAATAATATTTCTAAAATAGTTTTAAGTTTTCTATCAATAACATTATTATTATACTAATATAGCCGGTTCACTTTAATGAGCTTCATTAGGAAGTTGACAATTCGACCGCATTACTACGCGTATCAAAATACGTATAAGACTTTAATCAAAAAGTACGTAACGTGTATACTTTATTAGAACGCAGGCGCAATAAGTAGCGCGGTATTATCCGAACGAGTGTTTTTTCAAGTGTCAATAATTCAAATAATCAGTATTATTATAACTATAATCATTGTTATCATACATTTTAACAATTTATTATCTATCATATTCAAATTTCACCAAAAATACTGATGGGTCACCCCTTCCGGCAAATGATCTTTTACAGCGACATCGCAAAAAAAGTTTTCAATGATAAATAGTTATTCAATAATTTTTATTGCATTTATATTTTTATTAAAGATCACGAAAATACGAGAAAAATATCGTGAGAAACAAGAAAATAAGAAAAAGACAAAGATCAATGACTTAAAAAAGAAAACAATATAATCATGCTTGGTATACTCACCCTTTTTCCTTCGATCCAGCCGTACGATCTATTTGTTCCAGATCCTTAACTTTCCCGTGAATAGATCACAATCTTTCTTACAGAATAGAAATAATAAATCCGTTAATAATTTTTAGCAAATCGTTTCATTTTTTTCACGAGAATCGTTGTAAGCTTCAATAAGATCAACTTCTCATAGAACACGACGCTTGGCGTCCACCAGCACACTGGAATGCAGACCGACAGGTTTTGAACCGCGATAAAGTATAGTAACGACGTGTCTCGATCTAGGTACTCGTGTGCAGGTTGGCATCGCTATGTTATCACGTGATCGAATTCTATTTGAAATGTTATAAAGCATGAAATTTAATTAAAAAATTATATTTTATAAAATTCTCAAATATTTAGTAAAACATAAAATTTTAATTTTACATCAATTTAAATCAATTTCACATTTATTCTAAAAGATAAATTTTTCACTATAAGTTCAGATATCCTATGTGAAATATCACGCACCATATCAGCGCCATCTTTAAAATCCTAAACGCGCCAATTATGATTATATAAATAAATATTACACTTTTTTATCATCAAAAAAAGTATTATTAAGATAGACGTAAATAATTTAAGAGTTTAAATATAGAAATATATATTAATATATTGTATTCAAAGTAACATTAATTAACAACAATTGATCTTTATCTTTTTTTACACTTTTGTGATCAATAATTTTGTATCTATACATATATATATATATATATTTTGTATATATACATATATATATACATATACATATATATATATATATATATATGTATATAGATAGTACATATCGTAATATATCTCGAAAAGGATGCACATTTAAATAATCAAATCTTTTCACATTTAATTTTTTCACATTTTTTTCATTAATAAAGTTCTATTTTGGTTACAATCTAAAATATTAAATACTTTTCTCAATTATGTAATCTAAAATATTAAATATTTTACTCAATTATGTAAGCAAGGTCAAAAACTTAACAAACATTTTACAATGTATTCCATTTAAAATGAGTAATAATTATATTAATAATAATAATCATAATATAATTAATAATAGTAATAATAATATAATAATAATATTACATATTACGCCAACAAAAATTCATACAATATACAACTTGTAGATATACATATAAATAAACATCTATTCCTCAAAATAAATGATTTCTGCGTTTGGCACGATGTCATGTAATGGAGATAAATTAAACACCATATTAGAATTTGATTGTCCGTGGATAGTTGCAACGCAATGAAATATAATTTGTATTTTATACTTAATATTTTTTTTTCTTTCTGGTGTTCAAGTTCTTAATGATATTTTTTTATTATGCCAGCCGGTCTCATATAATAGGAAATAGGATTTAATGTTGTGTTAAATAATAATTTATATGCATTTAAAAATTACACAGACAAAATAATAGTTTCATTACAATATATGTTACAATAATACTTCATTAAAAAAATACTCTGTATGTTAACTATCTTGTACAATTAGTGTTAATTTATAATTTTTATACTTATTTCTCTCTATACAAACACGCGATATAACATTGATTTGTAGATGAATATTTATTGTATGGACCAGCTGACTAACGAGTATTTTGTCCAATGTCAGGATTTACTGGTATATATTGCTTTATGTTGCACTTGCTAATCGATCACTCTAATTTGTAATGCATTGATTAGCTACTATTATTATAAATGGCATCCCACCCCCTAATTGATTAGAATAAACTACATGGAAGAACAGATCTTCAGTCATAGCAAACAAAAGCTAGACTAAAAATTTCAACAAATAGAGTGAAAACTGTGATATTACTTTCAATATATATATAATATTTATCATATATTGCTAATTTAAAGATGCCAGTTTTTCTATCTAAATCAGAATGTTTAGGTGTCAGCAAGAATGCCAATTAATAATATCAGAAAAGTGTCGCAAGCACTTTTTCTTTCTTTCTCTTTCTCTCTCCCTCTAAACAATAAAACTTATAAAGCTCTAAAACTTCTGTTTCACCAAAATATAATTAACAACAATAACAACAACAAGGTGTGTTCACTTTTGCAATAATATCACAGACAATAGAAAACATAAAGTCTACAAAAAACTGGTCTTGCTCGTGCGTATACAAATTTCGAAAAAAAATGCCCGATACCGAACACAGGCATGTTTATTTCTCTAAAACATATTTAATATAATATATATGTATATTATAAATACGTATATGCTAAATATATAGAATAGTTTTACATTTACGTGAAATGTATATATTTCTCTCAAAAATTGAAATTTCTTAAATCGTGTATAAATATGGCATTCTTCCTTGCACCCTTTATTTTAAATTTTTTTCCCTTTATAGCTACAATCATACGAAATGTTTTGGCAGCGCGCCTTATTGATATTTTTTTTTTTTAAATTTATTGTATCTATTTTCTTTTTTTTGTTTTCTCTATTTTTTTTTTTTTACATTAATAACATCTCACAGTTTCATATGATTAGCATAAATTTTTCAAGTGCAGTAACTTTAACTGACTGAAATTATTAACATTATCACGTTAACTTCGAAAATAACTAAAGAATAAACAACATATAAATTAAACTAAATTGCACCTTCATGAAAAGCGATAATAATAATTTTCACATTTGAGATATATCTGAGCCAGCAGTAATAACATATATTACAAATAACAATTTATTTTTAATCGCAATTGTGACGCTTAAATATTATTATAAACCTAATAACTGATGATATTATTTAATTTTTACATAATCGTATAACTAAAAATGTCTCTGATTTAAAAATTTTGTTATTTTTAATTCATTAAGTAAGTTTTTTCTGCAAGTATGTTTCATATATTCGTTATTCGAAATTAAAATCATGCATTTCTTTTTTCCCTTTTAATGAAAGTTTTCTCATATGGCATGTAAATATGGAATTATTTAGGCTGCGCTACCATATTATGTTTGTAGTGTCACGCAAAATACAATTAATAAATGGTTTAAGCTAATGAACTGTTTTTTTCCTTTTTCTTCTTCTCCTTTTTCTTTTTTAGCAATTATTAGGAAGAGCTTTTATCACGCGGGCTGTGCCCTGTAAAAATATACCTTCTCTCTATATAGAACTACGATATCAATGTATACAAGACCAGTTTATCAATATTCAATATCTTTCATCATCATATACATTTATTACTTATCAGGTATTCACAATATTTCTTAATTATTATTATATTATAGTTATGTTTTTTTATTTTTATTTTTTATAAAAATAGGATGATACTCTTGCCATATACCTTTATACATTTCTTCCAATCAATATTTATCAATTTGACACGATATATATTGATGTTCTAACAAAATTTTTTGAACTGGTCTGTGCATACATTACAGGGACTATGTATATACAGCACTGTTTAAAATCATCTCAAAAGCAATAAAGAGAGTAGAAAAAGGCATGAAATGATAATATTTTTCAGTTCAAATCCATATTCATTATACCTCAATTTTTTTTAAAGTTCTTTTTGTTTTAGTTTTTCGCAGCACATTTTCTGCACATATACAGCTGCGTATGACCAGATGTATTTTAAATATGAATAAATGAGAATATGAACATGAAAATATGTTTGTGTATATGTATGTATGTGCTTGATAGTGAATGAATGTTTTGTATAGCGCGCGAACGCGTATGTATATATATATATATATATATACATATATATACATTATATATGTATATATATATATATATATACATATGTATATATGTATATATATAATCTTTTTTTAAATATATTATTAATTCTCTATTGTAAGATATCAATTATATTCTATACATATCTACAAGAACCTAATATAGAACTCTATTATTATTAATTAAACTCTCTATGAATTAATATGTATAATTGTCACAACAGGTCTAAAAAATTTATCATTATTATTTTAGTTTTAGTACGCAATAGTGTTTTTTTTTCATTGACATTTCATGAACTACTTATAGTTAAATTCATGTCTTAACAACATGTAAAAGTAATTCTTTTTTTTTTTTAACACTATTCTTCTATTATTGCTTGTTACTTAGTGCTATTTATTTTGGCATACAGCAAGTTCTAAACCCTGAGCGATCGCCAATTTTTTATTTTCTTTTGCCATCCTTTTGTTACCAGCTTTATTGTTTTAAATAGAAATGCACCCGATAAAAATTTTTTTTTAAAATAATAAGATATCATTTTTCATCTTATATCTATAAATTTTTCCTCAGTAAAAGATTTATGTCTTAAAAATCATATTAAACATAGAATTTTGAAAAGTTCATATTTCAAAAAAAAGTAGGAATTTTGCGATGCTACATATATATATGACCAAAGTATTTTTATATAATTTGCTTTAAATACCGTTTTCCTTCACTCCATTTTGGCCAATGCTTACGTCTTTTTTCAGAAATATTCGAATAATCGTTCGAAGCTGAACGTTTTTTTAGCTTTGATGAACTCTCGGATTTTGGCGTCGAGTTAATACTTTGTATATGATGTGCCCTACCGTGGTTAAGCGGTGTAGTAACACCTGCTAAATTTAAAAGTGCATCTGCACCTTCTGCTATTTTCCGTTGTTCATCAAAATCGGTATTTGCTTCTTTCCTTGGATATTTACTTGAAAAATAAACATATATCTTAATATTAAACAAGAAACATATTATAAACGTATTGTCTTAATATTAAGGAAAAATTAACTATTGAAATTACCATAATATTCTTACCTTTCTTGTCTTACTGAGGTAATACAACTGTAAGTGTGATCTTCACTAGAACTCCTAGTAATTACAGGAACCAACATTTCTGATTCCGGTACTTTTCGCTTACGATCTGCCGTAAAATTTTAAATTATGTTTTAAATGTTAATTAAATATTTATTTAATATGTTTATTTAATATTTTTCTATAAAATACTTTGCCTTTATTATGATTTAAAATAATAGGTCCATGTTTAAAAGAAAGCATAGCAGCTGCAGCTGCATCTACATCGCTATCTACTTCAGTATCTGTGTTGTCAATAATGTTGCTCGATGCCAGTCTTTTGGAAAGATATGGAAAAAGTGTAGGATCGGGTAGACGTGTACTGATATTCTTTTTTTGTGGTTTTTCGGGTGAAGACAAAGTTTGAACAGTTGGAGGAGGAAAAGGAGCACGAGATAACGCTTGTATCAGGTTCGGACGATATTGGGCGTCTACCATCCACAGTGAACCTTTGCCCAAATTCTAAAAGGAAGGACGTTTTACTAAATTTTTATTTCTAGAAGGGAAAATGATTTTTTTATAAATATTATAATATACTTACTGGTGCTTTCTCTACTTTACGAAAGCACTTATTTAGGCTGAGATTATGTCTAACAGAATTTTTCCATCCAGTTGGAGCATTCCTAAAATATGGAAAGTGATCCAAAATCCAAGCATACACTTCCTTGACTGGTAGAGCTTTTACAGGGCTATCTTCAATAGCCATGAAAATTAAACAAGAAAATGAATATGGAGGTTTACTGTTTCTATGTAAATGAGGATCATATGGTATATGAGTTGGATGTTTGTTGCGATTTGAGACTGGCAAATTATTGTTGTTTAAAGAAATCTTCGTCTGATTGTTTTGTGAAATACTATAATGATTTTTTACTGATTCCTGAAATATTTGCATTGATTTTTGACCATTTTTACTCGAGACTTGATAGTTTTGATTATTACCATGTGATGTTGTATTATTTATCTTGCTATTGCTATCTCCTGTAATAATAAAAAAAAATTAAATTCATTATAATGATCAAGTTAGAATTAAAATACATATAATAATCACCTGGACAATAACCATCATCTAAACTTGATATAGAATTAGTATTTTCAGAGTAGTCTGCCATATCATCGCAAATATTATTATTTAAAACATTTTCATTTTTCATTTCTTTAGTAGGATTTGAAATATCCAAACCCTTTAACAGATTCTGTTGATGAAGCCAACTTAAAGAAGTCAGATCATCATCTGACTGGCTATTTTTTTCAATAGATTTTTCAGACATAGAAAGTTCATCAGTTGAATTTGTTTCAACAAAAACATTTGCATTTTCTTTTTCTTTCATTGTATATACTGTTTCTCCAAAATTGAAAACTTGTGTACTTAGTCCTATACCAGTTTCCACATCAGATGTATCTGGTCTATCTGGTGGCATATTGTGTCAAGTATCTTCTTTGTCACTATAAAAAAAAATTAATTATATTTATATTTTGATTAAATTTATTTTCAACTAATTAAATTACTTTATCATTTATATATGCTTGAATGATTTCTATAAATGGTATATATATATATATATATAGAATATTTCAAAACAAATGAAAAAAGAATGATTATGTGTAAAAATTATAATTAAATATTTTCAATTCATTTTTATATATGGAATTAGTATCTACTCGCCTTCTAACCTATTCTTGATATCTTGTATATTATATAATAATATATAAATTTATAATATAATTATATAAATTTTTTTTATTTTTTTTGAAAATTTTTCACTCATAAAAAAAATTCGAAAAGATATGAAAAAGTAGAGATCTATGAAGTAAAGAGAAATTGATAAGCTTCAATAATTCGATATTTCAATAATTCAAAATAGAAATATCAAGTTTCTTCGTAATCTCAGCAATATATATATAT